AGACAGACAGACAGACAGACAGACAGACAGACAGACAGACAGACAGACAGACAGATATCAATTTTCATCTCAGACTTACCTACCCGATTCTCCTTGACAAAGGGCACGGTGATAGCCGGGAATTCCTCGGAAACCTAAGTCCGTGTTGCTACCAGTGAGCCCTGCGAAATGTGTCATTTGTACACACAGCTCTACTTGCAGCTCCCTTTATTACCTACAATGTCTGCACAAGTGACAGGAGACACACTCTCATCACCTCACAAACTAATATATTATGTGACAGTTGCTAGTGCTAGTTTCACTTGGTGTGAACACATATGTGTGAAACTGATTATTGATTTTCGGGGTTAATTGTTATACACTGTGCACAGGTGATCATGAATTTCCAGGGCACAAAATTAGACTGTCGATAGCTTTTAGCCGAGGACGAAAGTCTACATCTCAAAACATTTTTGGTGTTTTCAAACTTCTTAAACCAGTATGAAATTTACAATCAAGTCTACAGCAGAAATATTCCAATTACTTCTATGTGAAACTGGAAGAATTATTAAACGTTTGTGTAGAATACTATTAGATTCTCTTTGTCAAAGGTCTGATTTTCGAACTGCATGGTAAATGTATTTGGTATGACACAATGTATGAGGTATATAACAGAGCATAAATAACGAGCGCTTTCAAGTAGATTCTACACGAACAGAGCAGAGTATAAACCATACGAATCACGAATTACAAAGGAAATGTAAGTAGAAGACTTCTCTCTTGGTTAGATTTTCTTTCTGCAGAGAACAGCTTGGGGAAAGAAAAGAATCAACTTCCTGCGTCACGTGTCATGCTTTGAGTGGGATTAACCCTTTCTTGTCGGTCTCATGACTGTCTGTAGTCATATGGAGTAAAAAAAAAAATGACCGTCAGTGAGTTAAATTCGTGTGGTCGAGACAACAGATGTGTCGGCTGATCGCTTACGGAAGCTGATAAACAAAGCTTAATGTAGGTTCACAAAGCATAAACATTTCGATTCGTCAGTGGTAACAGCACAGCTTCTTTCTCATGAAAATTTCTGCAACTACACACGCTCACGAAGACTTTTCGAATTATATGGAGACAAAGCATGTCTTCGTGAGAATAAAGCATTTGGCTTGTCTAGTGCAGTCAAATATAATACGTCATGTAATCAGTAGATATTGCTCGCACGAACTTAATTAGACATTAAGCTTTCCTAAATAGTCATGCAGACACAGCACACACACACACACACACACACACACACACACACACACACACATACACACACACATACATACATACATACATA